CTTATAATTCTAGGAGGACAGGCCCAAGGTAGGAACTCTAGTGCTGCAGGTGGAGGGAGGGAAAGTGAACATTGACAAGGGATGTTGCTCAAGATGGTGGGAGGAGTGACCTCACAGCCGGCTGCTGCAGGTCTAGCTTCCAGAACCTACAGGAGCAGCGCAGACTCAGGGGTCTGAGCTTCTGCACCAGGAGAGCATAAAAGAATAGCAATAACAACACAGCATGTTCTAGATGCTTTACATATATTAACTAGTTTAACCCTCACAACCCTAGGAGAGAGGTTACTGCTATTCTCATCATCTCCACTTAACAGAGGGAAAACTAAGGCAATGAGATACCTGCCCCCAGTCAAATGACTATTGACTGGCACAGCTAAATACATACCTGGCTGCAAAGCCCATGACCCCAACCGCCATGCTAGAATCTCTGTAAATGAGCAAAGGGACTTGGCCAAAAGCCTCCAAGAGTGGTGGGGCAGTGGCGGATGTGCCCTGTGCAGAGCACTCCAGCTCCAGCCCATTGTGGCAGCATGTGGAAATGCAGACCCACCATGGCAAGATGTTCTAATTTTCCAAAATAAGCCATACATTTATGTGAACTCTCCTAATTTTAAAATGTTGACTGGTTTGTTATTTCAAATATCAGGCAGTCAAATAAAACATGGCTTTATTGTAGACTTCTTGGTGGGACTTGCTACATAATTTTCAGAGCCTGGTGCCAAATAAAAATGCAGAGCCCCTTGTTCAAAAATTAAGACTCTCAGGCCAGCAACGGCAGAACATCGAACCAAGCTCAAGGCCCTTCTGAGCGTGCAAATGCCCAGGTTGCATGTGCATGAAGCAGGCTCTGCCTCTAATGCAGGCAACTTCCTAAATACCTGTTGAATCAAATGGAAGGGAGGGAAAGAGGAAGGAAAGTGAGCATGCTTCCCAACACCTACTATGCAGCAGACACAGATTTATAAAATAGCTAACACTTGTAAAGCACTCACACGTGCCAGGCACTGAATGGATTAATGCATTGAAACCTCACACCAGTGCTTTACATGCTATACGATGGTGCTATAATGATTCCCATTTTCCATATGAGCAAGTTCGGACCCAGGGAAGTGACATCACCTGGTTATTGCTAATGCTGCAGGGAACTGATCTGGGTGGCAAGGGCTGAGGGAGAACAAATGGGAGAGGGGGGAAAATGAGAGGGAGAGTGAGGCAAGAGGAAGAGAAGCCACCCCAGTCCCGTTTCCCAAGCTGGGCTGCACTCAGGTCTCTGCCAAGACCGTGTGGAATTCAGGGAGGCCGCCGCACCCCAGAGAAGGGCCCGTGGCATTTCTGAATCACGGTGCCATCCGCCCCGGCTTGGCTCTTCTCCGGCGATCCAATTACTAAATGTAGCCGCATTCTTTAAAAATGTCTTTCCTCTTATGTAATGCAATAGTGACAAACGCCAAACAGATGGTGCTGTGACAAGCTTTTTAAAAGTTGATTAGGAGCTCATCTTTCAAAATTAATGTATGGGCATTTAAACGAGCTTCAGCCGGCCACAAAACTCGATCAAGAATCCATACGGGACGAATCACTTGACGGACTGGCCATGCTCACCTCCTTCCTGGCCAGGGTTTGACATGAGAGTTTGGGAAATGTTAATAACTTGGGTGAGGTTGACTTGTGAGCAATGATCAGAAGACACCTGGTTTGGATTGGACAAATGGAGAAATACCTCGGACCTCCCAAAAGTCCAAGAAGCTGGCCCCTCCTCAATCTATTCACTGAGACCTTTTTTTTCACACTTTTGCGTTGTCTTCAAGAGAGCGGACCATCTCTCCCTGCCTCCCAGAGGGAAGTGGGTTAGTCACAAACCATGTCAGATGCTGCCAGCGAGCTGTTTCACCCCCACTGATACTTCCTCAGTGTTCTGGGATGAGATCATCTCATTTGGAGCCAATTATAGATGGAGAACGCTGGGGATGTGCAAAGAAACCTCCCTCCCACCATCACTGGCCGTACCCTGCAGGGATGGGCAGGAACAGGAGGCTGGATGTCCAGTCCCAGGTTCAAGCCCAGAGTTTGTGAGTGCCACACATTCCTAAGCTACAGCTAGGATGCTGGGCTGTTGGCTAGCTGAAGTCTGTTGGCCTCCAAAGTTCAGAACTGGATGAGCCCTTAGAGATCATCGCTATTGAGATGAGGAAACTGAGGCTCCGGAAGGGAAGTGGCTTGCTCAGGGTCACACAGCAAGTTGGTAGCAAAGCCAGATAGATGAATCACAGCTCCTCCACCTCCCATAAGGAAGACCATTGTCTGGAATATGCCCAGCCCCCACTCCTGCTGCTTCTGATACCAGCACCCTGAGTTTTCCCAGAGGAATCATCCCTTCCCCGACTGACCCCTCCCCCACTTCAATGATGAGTACCTGACCCAGCCCCGGCCAGTCAGAACAGTCCGTCCCCCACACCACCCCCATTGGTTCAAGAATATGAACCAGAGATGGAAGATGAGCCGGGTCAATAAGCAGCAACCCCAGGACTTTAGCTGAGGCTGAGGGCATTGGAAATGAGATGCTCTCTTCCCCTGAGTGATGCTAAACTGGGAGGAAGAAAGCCTAGGGCTGTTGGCAGCCACCTATGCCACCATAAGGTGCCTCCCAAAGAATAAAGCCAACACAGAGGTGGGCAGTTCAAAAGAAAGTGATACAACAGCTTCAACTTTTAAACCCCTGGATCTAGCCATACCTGAAGGCAACCCTATCCTGGATATTTTAATTATACAAGTTAATAAATTCCTCTTTTTGCTAAAGTTGGTTGAGTTCAGTTCTGTCACTCATCCCCCTTTGGGGGATGACTAATAGGGCCTTGACTAATATAAAAATTGAAGGGCCTATGACATAGGCCAAGCCTCCAAAGTGTCACACTGTGTGCTTCTTGGATGGAGACACCTCCCCCTTCCCAGCAGATTCCCTGACTCCCTGCATGAGCTCCAGCAACAACCTGTAGAAGGCATACCCAAGGTAAATGCACCATTTCACGGTACCCAAGAGATGGCTCTGCCTTCTGGGTACCCATAACTAAGGTGTTCCCCACCATAGATTCTGCCTTCCTATTTGATCAAGAGCACAGGCTTTGGAGTCCAGTTCAAATCCCAGCTCCAATATTTCCTAATCATGAGAACTTGGGCAAATCACTTGGTCTTCCTGAGCTTCAGCTTCCTCATTTGTAAGTGGGGAGAAGATCGCCTGCCTACTTTACAGGGTCTTAGAGGAGATTAAGACAGGCACAACTATTTACGTGCTAAAAAAAATGGTAGCTACAAGAGATTCCAAAAAGCATATACTACAGAGCCTGGGCAATTGTCAGGCACTTATGGTCTGCTTGGAAAGATAGCACCTACACACATAAATCTATTTCCACATAAAACAGCCTCCTACAGCCAAAACAAGTATAGGGGTAGAGGCAGGGAATGTCCACTTCGAGGGAACCCATTCTGGATGTGAGTCAGGCAGCCCCTTGCTGGCCTCCTGGCTGGTCCGCTCCCCTCTTCCCTGAACCCTTTCTGGATGTGAGTCAGGCAGCCCCTTGCTGGCCTCCTGGCTGGTCCGCTCCCCTCTTCCCTCCATCACCCCAGCTCCTCACCCCAGACCAGCACACACAGGTGCTGCCGAAATGTTCACCCAGTGACTCATTCACACTCCCAGAGAGTGGGAACAGACAGTGATTCCCAGGAGCACCCAGAGTCCTGATTTAGGAAGGAGGATCGGGTAGCAGCAACATTTGGGCTGGTTGCTGGCCAGCCCCAAGGACAGCTGGGAGATAAATGTCTCCCCCAACCCCATGGGAGGGAAGCCTTACCAGCTCCCTCAGAGCAGAGGGACTGAGTCACAATTCCATACCCCCCAGCCCTGCCAAAGTTCTTTATTCATTACAATGGGGCTTCCTGAACTGGGAGGCTCATATTTGAGACAGTCTGACACAAACCCCAGATAGGGCATTAAATAATGACTCCAATACTGATCCATACTATGAGACAGATGCACCTTGAAAACATTCTGCTAAGTGAAAGAAGCTAGTCACGAAAGGCCACATATTGTGTGATTCCATTTATATGAAATGTCCAGAATAGGCAAATCCATAAACAGAAAAACCTTAGTGGCTGCTTAGGGCTGGGGGGCGGGGGGTCCGAAGAATGAGGAGTGACAGCTAATAAGTACAGGGTTTCTTTTGGAGGGAGACAAGTCTTTGAGTATACTTAAAAGGATTGAACTGTACACTTTAAATGGGTGAGTGGTGTGGTATATGAATTATATCTCAATAAAGTTGTTAAAAATATTAAAAGCAATTGACTCCCAAGGGGAGAAAATTAGCCCCCTTTCAAATCTCTTCTAATTTTTCTAATTTGTCAAGGAGCAAGTCTCCACTGGGTACTGGTGTATCCTTACTCTCTAACACTTGTTAATTTCTAGTTTGAATAAGGAGAGCAGGCTTCATGCTCAGTGTCTCGGGCAGACAGCAGTTCCTAGCCAGACTTGTCTGGTTTCTATTGTATTTATTTTTCTGATTGTCTTCTTATTATGGAAACTGACCATTCCATTCATTTATTAATTCATCTTTATTCAACATATATTTATTGAGCATTATTGTGTGTCAGGCACTGTTGTAGCCTCAGTGACACACAAACCAAAATCCCTGCCCTCATGGAGCTTACGTACTAATGCAGGGAACCTAAGCAATAGATGTGGCTTATGGTCTCGAATCCCCATGCGGCCACTCACTAGCTGTGTGACCCCAGGCAAGTGGCTTAACCTCTCTGAGCCTCAATTTCCACACATGTAAAATGGGGATAATAACTGCACCTAACTCAGGATCCAATGAGCCAATATGTGTAAAGGGACAAGATGGTGATTGATACTCCATAGGTGCTTAATAAATGTTTGCTATTATTATTTATTTTCATTTATAATTGTGATAAAAATATTTCCTCTTTAAACACATGTACTTAAGTTTAAGTTTCCTTTTCAAATAATTTTATTTAAGTCTAAAAAAAAGGGAAGGTGGGAAGTTAATTTAAAAAATAAGAGTACGGTAAGGAGAATAAGACAAAGGCCACAAGAGTGCGTTTAGGAGATGAAATCTGGAAAGCCCTGAGTTGGAGGAAGATGTCAGAAGAGCCATGACTCCCAGCTGGCACTGAGTGGAAATATAAAGCTATTTTCAGCCTCAGCACAACAAGGAGACTTGTTCCATCCATCTCAAAACTGCAGACTTCTCCCCACTTGTTTGTTCTGCAGGATCCCAAGCTGTGGGATTTCCCTGCCATCCCCAGAGGCTCTGGAAAGAGGAGTTCTGTACAGTCAGGGAGCACGGGCACTAGATGAAGACGAAGCTGTGGACCTCAGGGCAGGAACAGTCCCGGAGCTGCCTGAGTCTCTCCCAGGTCCCTCAGCACAGGGGGTGGCTGGCTGCTTGCCATAGCAACAGCTGGTTCCTGCAAGAGATGGGCTGGTCAATCGGCTTATGACTTCCCTGGGCTCCAGGGACATTCACCTTCATGGGCCCCTTCCTCCACAGTTTATGACTGCATTGCATAAAGACAAATATAATCCAGGCTGGATTCATGATTAGTATTCGTTATTATTGTACAGGTTTTTTCTCCTGGTTTTAAAAGAAATTAAAATCAAAACATTTTTGTGGTCCCTGAAAGTATGTGAACACTGTACCCTGATGAAGACATTAGCCTTGAGAATGGCCACCGAGCCACCGATGCTCAGAGGCCACACAAGGCAATCCAGAGTGAACTCTTGAGGGTCTGGGGGATGGCACTGCCCCATCCTTGCTGAACATACCGGGGCAAGTTGCTTAACCTCTCTGTGCCCTCTTTTCCTCCTCTGTTGGAAGGCAACACAGTGTGGTGGCTTAAGAGCACAGGCTCTGGAATCAGATGGGATATGTGACCCAGCTCCTAGGAGCTTCCATCTCCTTAATGGAAAACAGAGATGTCAATAAACCACCTCTCGGAAGTGTTGGGAAGGTTATGAGATGCTGTGTATGGATGAAATAAAAATGATAATAATGATAACAATAATAATAACTATTTCAACAACAAGTATGAACAATCTAATGCTACAAATGCAACCACATGGATGAAACATGCAAACTCCATGTACAGTAAAAGCAACCAGATTCCAAAGGGCACATCCTGCATGATTTTGTTTATGTGAAGTTGGGAGAAAAAAGAAATTAAACTATAGTGTTTAGGGATCTGCACCAAGGTTAGTAAAGCTATAAAGGAAACTGCACAACAGATTACCAAAAAAGTCAGGACAGTGGTTTCCTTTATGGGGAGGGGAGGTGCTGAGGTTAGGATGGGGTGTTGGGGGAGCTCGAGGACTGGCCAGGTTCTGTTCCTTGCCTGGGTAGTGACTACCCAGGTGCATCTCTTTTCCAAACATTTGTTAATCTGTTCATATATTTTTAGCGAATTTTTTGCAGGTATAATTCAAATTTTTAGAATTGCAAAATGATAACAACAATAGCAGACGCTGATTCAGTGCACATGCCAGGCACTGCTGCAAGCTACCAAGCGCAGCACCTGGCACAGAATAGGCGCTTCGCAAATGACAGCATTTAAAGTTACTGTTATTATTGCTGTCCTCATTATATAAAACAGAGTTAATGTCCCTTGTCTCAAAAGGACCAGTCAGGCCTAAATGAGAACCCATGTGAAAAGCGCCTACTTGGTGCCCAGCGCACAGTAGGTGAGTGGCTCATGGCAGTGTTTCTTCTGCTTGTCACAAATTCAGAGACACTTCTTGGGCTAAATAAGCCCTCTGAAAATCCCCAACTGCCAGGCTAATCCCTCTCCAGGCCCATGCCCTTTGCTCGCCCGCTCTCGCCAGCTGCCCATGGAAAGAATCCGGCTGGCAGCTCATTTCCCTGTGTGCTTTGATCCCCATGCTCTGCCCAATCCTTCCTGGTGAGCTCATGCCCCAATCAGACCTTCCATCACCTGTTCTGTGAGCCTGGCCCTTGGAGGGGAGTGTGAAGAGATGCCTCTCTCTGGCACAGCCCTGGGTCTCCTTTCCATTCCTTCCCATCCCTGGTAGAGACAGGGGTCTCCGTGACTCTCCTCATCGCCACACCAAAGTGCCATGTTCTACATCCCAGAGTATTTATGTCAAAAATGAGAAATTTGGAATTAATCAGAGCCTTCGGGCTTATCCAAACACGAATGGATAAACTGAGGCTCTAAGAAGTGAGTACTATCCCAAAGAATGAATCTCTAATGGTGGCATCTCAGGTACAGGACAGGTAAGTGGGAGATAGGTTGAAGAGGGGCTGACAGCGAGGGCCTCCCTACCATGTGATAACATTGTCTGACATTTATATATTGTTCATCACATCCATTATTTCTCATTTCCCCAAAGTAGGCATTATCGTAACTATTCTACAGATTAGACATGACAATAGCAGCTGCCACTAATGAGTATCTACAAGGGGCCAGGTGCTGTGCAAAGGGCTCAGAATCCTTCCCACAGTCCTACGTGGTGGGGACTATCAGGGTTAGGTGGAGGGCTTGCCCAGAGTCACATAGCTAATAAGGGCCAGAGGTGGAATTTGAACCACCAATGTGCAGTCCCAATGCCTCTTGTCCAAATACATCTGCCTCTAACACCCTACTGGCATAAGAATTCCCTACTCCAGGTCTGCAGCAAGTGGGGCTGCTAAATTTTAAAAAGAAGGAAATTAACACCCTTGGAAATTGTAGAAGAACTCCCTGGACAGACTCCAGAGAAAGCCCACGTTCGAACAGTATAATAATCCCTGTGCTGGAAAAGCACTTTTAGTGGGAAACAGTCTAGATTAGACTTTAGAGTTTGGCTTGGGGGTCTGAGCAGTTTTGATTCAAATCTCATTTCTGCCACTTGCTAGGTGTGTGACCTTGGGAACCTCTTTGTATCTCAGTTGCCTCATCAGGAAAGCAGGGATCCTAAAACTATCCACTTCAGATTCTTGCAATGTTTCAGCAGCATACTGTGTGTCAGTGTGACCTCAGCAACTTCCACACTCCCCTCACACACTCTGCGCCTGCCACCATGGCCTCTTTTGTTCCTCCAGTGCAGCAGGAACACTCCATCCACCTCAGGGTCTTTGCACTTGCCGTTCCCCTTGCCTGACATGCCCTTTCCCCAGATATCCACAAGGCTCCTTCCCTCATTTTTTTCAGGTCTTTGCTCAAATGTCACCTTCTTTATGTCACCCTCCTTAAACAGGCTTTAAAAAACAACTCCCAGAACTTCCCCCTCACTCTTCTTTCTTTCCCTAACACTTATCTCTCATCTAACAATTATAGATTTACTTATCTATTATCTGTCCCTTCACAGCAGAATGTTGTCTCCATAAGGGAAGGGACCACAGCTGCTTTGTTCATTGCAGTCTCCCCAGTGTCCAGAACATTGCCTGGCATGTGCTCAATAGTAAGTGCTCCACAGACAATTACTGAAAGGAAGGAAAGAAGGAAGGAAGGAAGGAGGGAGGGAAGGAGGGGAGGAAGGAAGGAAGGAAGGAAGGAAGGAAGGAAGGAAGGAAGGAAGGAAGGAGGGAGGAAGATAAAGAGTTTAGTATAATTCCAACTCATAGTAAGCACTCAGTAAATGTTAGCTATTGTTACAATTAGTATACAAAGTGCTTCCCAAGACACCCTGCCCTTGTGGAGGCACTCTAGGGGGCTGATGTAAGGCAAATCTGGATCAAATCCTGCTGTGTGACCTTGACTAAGTCACACTGCCTCCCTGAGTTGGTTTCTCCATCCAAAAAATGAGGGTACCCAAACATGGCTTTTAAGGGAATCATGAGGATTCAGTGATAATGCCCTTTTCTTGAGTGCTTTCTGGATGCCAGGAGCTGTGCTAAGTCCTCAACTTGCACAATCTCAAGTAATCCTCACCACTGCCCCATGGGGAGCTACTCATTACCTGCATTTTCAGATGAGGTACTTGGGGTTCAGAGAGGTTATGAGATTCGCCAAAGGTCACACAGCTGGAAGTGGCAGGAGCCTGGCTCCTAATTGGCTGATCTCGGACACTGGAACCAGGACCCTGATGGGTCCCACCCTGTCCAGGGAGCAGCACCCCAGCATCTCCTGGGGTGCCATCTCAGGCAGCAGAGAAGCCCCAGGCTCTACAGGGACACTTGCCCATGCCCAGGTCCCACTGCTCACCCTCTGGCCCCACTGCCATCCCCATAGCAGCACTGGCTCCTGGCGTCCTGGGTAGGCCATTCATACCTCACACAGACCGTGTGGCCCTGGGTCAGATACCTTGTCCATTGGGCATGGGGTGCCCTCACCTGCCCACAGCTCCCTGGAATGGACCCCAACCGGAACTGGACATATTACCTGCAGCCACACAGGGAGACACCACCCAAAGCACCATGAGCACTGACAGAGCACCTACCATGCACCCAGCCCTATGTGGACCCAGGTTGGTACCATTTTTCCCTAACATAGAAGCCTTTTGAGCAAACCAATTTAAATCACAGGTTGCTTACGACAAAAGACTCAACTCCTGCTTTTTAAAGTTAACATTATTGAGGCTTATCATGTGCCAGGCAGGCTCTATTCTAAGCACTTTATCCAAAAGACTATATATTTTATTTTTCATCTGCCTCCCCATTATGTCAGCTCCACAAAAGCAGGAATTTTTGGTTTTTAACTGTTGAGTCCAACTCCTAGAATTGTACCTGGCTCAATAAACATTTGCTGAATAAATCATTTGGTCCAATGGAACAGGGAAACCTTGCAAGGTAGGTGTTGCCCCCAGTTTTAAGGTTAGGAAACTGAGGATCAGAGAGACAACTTGCCCAAAGTCACACAGCTAAGTGGCGTTGCCTAAAATGGAACCACCTAAACTGAAAAAAGCCTAAATGGATACTCTTAAGCACTCCACCACATTTTACAAAAGATCCTATTTTATAGAGAAGATTTATTACGAAAATTATTTAAAAGGGAAGCTCCTCATTTTAGGGTATCTTAAATAGACCCAAAATGCCAATTTACCCAACTTCTCCTACAAGTAGCAGTAAAATAGCTCCCCCTGCTGGAGGAAACGCAGCTTGTCAAGGACTCGGGGGAGACTCTGTGTGGGGCTGCTGCCCCCTGGTGGCTGCAGCCTCTGGGAGGCCTGAGGAGCCAACAGTTTTCTTCTTCCAGGGACAGCCCAAACCCAGTTCCTTCCTCTCTGAGTTGCCCCATAACTCCTCAGGAATCTGTCCCCTACCAGAAGCTGGTGACAACTGGAAATTTTGTCTTTCCAATCCACTTTCTCTTCCCCTTTTGGTGGTTTATTTAGGGAACTCTTGTCCCTATCCTATGAGGTCTCCAAGGGACAATCACTCAGGGTTCCTAGTCCTGCCTCCCACACCTGCCATTAGGTTGGCAAATGATTGTTGCTGACCAAGCAGAGTTCCCCATATTCCTGGCCATAGTGACTGGCTCAGGGATGGGCCCAGGATCCAAGCAGGACCAATCAGGGTCTTCTCCAAAAATAATACACTGAGTCTAGAAAGAGAACACCTTTAGGGTTACTAAGCTGGGAGGGTATGGGGCTGCTTATCCCCATAATATCCCCAAGATGACCATCGTGGCCACTACAGGGAGAAAGCCAGCTTGAGAATGAAGACGGCCCATGGAGTGAAAGAGAGAGAAATGAGAGCAAGTCCCAGCAACATTACATGTACTCTTGGCTCCAGCCACGCTTGAAGTGACACTACGTCAACACTCCCTTTCCAGTTATGTAAGTCAATAATTCTCCTTTTCACTTGAAGCAGTTTGAGTTGTATTTCTGTCACTTGCAATCAAAAGAATCGCAACTAAAATAGTTCTCCTATCCATCTCCATTGCCTCTGATAGTTATTGAGTACCCAGCACGTGCCAGGCAGGCATCATCCTGGAAGCTTGAGCTCATCACCACGATCCTGCAACATGCTGGTCTGTCTCCAGTCCCTGCAATCCACCCTTCACAAGCCAAGAGGGCTGCTGCCCTGGTCCAGACCACCTGCATCTCTCACCTGGACCACTGCAGCTGCCTCCTTGTTGCTCTCCCTCATTCCCTCCTTACCTCTTCACAATCTGTTCTCCAAATAGTATCCAAAGGGAGCCTGTGAAAACCTGTCAGATCATGTCATTCCGCTGCTCAAAACCCTACCATGATTCCCATCTCATGAAAGTGCCTAATTCCTTACCATGCCTACAGGCCCTCTGTAATCTGCACCCCACCCCCATTGTCTTTCTGACTTCATTTCCTGCTCTCTCACTCTCCCTGCACTCCAGCTGGTTTTCTTGCCGATCCTTGAGCGTACCAGGCATACCCTGCCTCAGGACCTTTGCACTTGCTGTTCCCTCTTCCAGACATGCTATTCCCCCAGATATCCTCCTCCAGATCTTAGTTCAAATGTCACCTTCTGTGAGGATATCTCTGACACCCCCGTCCCTTCCCTTCTTATTTTTCTCAATAACACTTAGCAGCATCCAACGTGTTGTTTATTTGCTTATTGTCTCTCTCCTCCCACTACTCTGTCCATTCAATGAGGACAAGTATTTCTGCCTTTTCTTGTTCTTTGCTGTAGCCCCAAGACCTAGCACAGTGCCTGTCACATAGCAGGTACTCAGTAAATGTCGAATGAATGGATGAATAAATGAAGTTGACTGGAGACCAATTATTGAGGACTTTAAAATCCATGTTAATGAGCTTACAATTGTAACAGTGTAAGAATGGGGAGATATTAAAGCTATCAAAGCAAAAGAGAGACGTGATAAAAGAATTTTAGTTCCAAAAAATACCTTCACAAATTTTAGTTTGACTGTAGGTTCATTGGCTTCCACTTACCCTACTGTCTCCGGCTCCTTGGAAACACTTCACTTTTTCCACTCTTTTCCATAGCTACCTGTGGTTATCAGAGCAGGGACTGTGAGTCAAGGAGAAAATAGTTAGATAGGACAATACCTAGGCTATGGCACCATAGGGACACCAGGGCTGGGTACCCCTGATGTCTGAGTCACTTACATGACAGCCTTGAGGAGACTGTGGGATCTTGGAACTGGATAGGTGATCCCCTCCAGGGCCCTTTATACAGGTCTGGAAGCAGAATCATATTTATCTCTGACACTCCAGGGTCTGGTGCATAGTGGGTCTCAAAAAAGTTTTTTAAATGAATGATTTGGTGAATGAATAAGTGAGTGATCAAGAAAGAGTAGATAAAAGAGCCAATAACTGAATGAATGGAAGGATGGTTGGCTGAAATGATGCAAGAAAGAACAGAAGAATGAATGGATGATGGGTAGACACACGAGAAGATGGAAGGACAGAAGGAAGAAGAGACAGACAAGCAGAAAAATGGATGAATGGGAGAGATGAATGGAAAGAAGGATGGATGGAGAGTTAACAGGTGGATGGACAGGTGAATGAATAAAAGAAACAGATGGATGAAAAGATAGAAGAATGGAGAAAGGAAGTGCAGAGGGATGAATGGGAAAATGGCTGTATGGATGGACAGATGAATGGATGCACAGATGAATGAGTGGATGGCGAGGTGTAAGAATAGAAGAAAAGAGATACAGCGTGAGTAAATTAATGAGTAAAATTATTTTGTTGGGCCGGCTTCCAAGCTTCTTCCTTCCTAGATCAGACAGAAGGAACATAGAGGAAAAGGACTGATAGTTCACAACAGGTTGGTGATTCCTTAGGAAAATAATCCAAAGGAAGTCCCTCTTCTTTCCCATTCTCTGAGAGATTAGGCTGAGTTTAAGACCTCGCATTGAACCTTGTGACCTAGCGGAGGCCACACCAGGGCATCCCCGGCACCTCTGCCTGCTTCAGTCAGGGGAACTAGACATGGTTCCCTAACACACCCACCAGACAGCCTCCTCCCCTCTTCTCTTCCAACGCCATAGTGCTTAATGCTTGTGACCTAGCGGAGGCCACACCAGGGCATCCCCGGCACCTCTGCCTGCTTCAGTCAGGGGAACTAGACGTGGTTCCCTAACACACCCACCAGACAGCCTCCTCCCCTCTTCTCTTCCAACGCCATAGTGCTCCCTTTGGTGCAGCCTAAAGCAGTAAGGAGAGCCCCAGACAAGCCCGGGTTCTAGTTCCAGCTCCCCCTCTTAGAGCTGAGTGGTCTTGGTCAAGGGACTGCACTTGTCTGAGCCTCGTTCTCATCAGCAAAGTGGAGATAATATTAGTACCTACTTCACGGGGTTATTGTAGGAATTAAATACGATGCTATACAATGAGCACCTGGGACATAGTACATACTCAACAAACACCTGCTGAATTCCATTCCTTGCTCACTGTTCCAGCCACTAGGTCCCTGATCTTTATGATCTACCCCCTCAATCTGCCTTCAAAACCATCTCACCTGCATAACTTAGTCCTTGTCCCCTCACCATCTTATGAGAATAATAGCTGCATAACAGTAGCTCACACACATCAAGCAACTTACAAGGGGGAGAAGACACACTCGCTGAGCACCTACCTGGTGCTGGATCCTTTGCCAACACTACCCCAGTTTACACTCATGACTCATCCAACCCTGAGAGATCAACCTTACTATTCACATTTTACAGAAGGGGAAACTGAGGCTCAGGGAGGCTACCAAACTTCTCCATGACCACATGACTAATGAGTAGCAGAACCAGGACTCCTCCCAGACCGCCAGCTGGAATCACATCTCGCCTGCTGGTCACTGCTGTATCCCCCATCCCAGAACAGGCCTGGCAGAGAGTAGGTGCCAGGGCCGCCTGGGGGATGAAGTGAGTGTCATGCAAGGCAGCAGGCCCAGTGGGCACTCAATAAATATTCATTGAGAAAGGATTAAGTGTGTATTACTAGCCCCTGGCCCTATGCCAGATACTAGGAGAAGAATGACCCCTGTTCTCTAAGATCTCCCACTCTGCACATAAGGAACCAGGTCATTTTAACACAGGTGACATGTAACATGATGGTGATAACAGGCAAGCTGTTGTCAAGGCCAGAGGCTCAGCCCAACCCAGCCTCGGGCACTGGAACCTACTACATGCCAGGCCCCATTCTGGATGAGGGATAGAGCAAAAAACAGGCTTGGAGATAGGGGATCTGCGGTGGGGGTAGGGGAGGTCCTAGTTCTGCTACTCTTTAGCCATGTATCTTGGGCAGGATTTGTAGCCTCCCTAAACCTCAGTTTTCCCTTCTGTGAAGTGAGAATAGTTAACAATGACCTCACAGAGTCCAGTCACATGGTAAAGTGTTTGGCACATGGTGGTGGTAGTCAGGACTATCTTCCCAGGGAAAATTGACATCTTTGAAGGTAGGCAGAGGGAGGAAGAAAATGAGGCCATGGGAGGCGAGAGCCAGAGCAAGTAGAACTTTCATGCCCCAGGAGAAGTGTGGGCTTCACCCTGAGGGCAAGGGGTACCTTCTGAAGAATTTAAAGCAGGGGGTGACGCTATGGTAGGATTTGAGTTTTAGAGTGACCTCCCCTCCCTGCCAGGCTGTAGTCTAGGGAGAGATTGGAAGGGGATAATTTGGCCCTACTGGTTGCTCTTCTACGTTTTAGGAAAATCACTTTCACTCTCTTGGTCAATTTCTTCAGCTGTAAAATGGGCATCACTATTTTTTGAATGATTCTATATAAAATCCATCTGTCATTTTGGGGGGACCTCTGGTCAAGATGGCAGAATACACAGTCCCCAGCATCACTCTCTTCCACAAATCAACTAATTTACAACTATTAAAAAGCAATGACAGACAAGCTGGGGCCACAGGAGCTCAGGGGAAGAGGAGGAGAGACCTGTGGAGTTCATGAAGGTGGGAGAAGCCACAATGAGAGAAAGACAAAACTGCTCTGGCCATTTTGTGCCATGGCCGCTTTAAGTCTGGAGCTGCTGAGTGCACAGAGCAGGAGCCAGCAAAAGCCGCGGCTGTGCCCTTTGGATGAAGTTGCTTGGAGGCAGCAGGGGAGAAGAGGGCCTTGGTGGCTCCCAGACCAGCAAGACCACTAATAGGGTTCCTGTGGACCCACATAGGAGTGAAGAGCCACAACAACTGTAAAAAGGGAACCACTCAGAGGCCAGTGAGTCATCACAAGGGACTGGTGTACAACCCGTCCCATGGGAAGTGTTTGCAGCATGGGTGGTGGGGGAGATGGGCCCACCAGGGGAACACTAGGGCACAGCAAGGACAGCTGATCTGCCCCCCAATCAGCATAGGACCACTCAGAGGAGAATGGTCAGGAACATAGAATTGCATGGGGTGCAGTTTGATGTAAAGACTCAGGCCCAGACCTGTGTTTCTATGTAGCCCAGCTGCATTGGATCTCACTAAACCCAGAAGTCCTATAAAGCCAACCATTAAAACCTGAGCTGCACAAAAAGCCTTCCCCAGGGAATCAGGAGCAAAGCAGCAATTTAGCTCAACCACAGAGCTCAAGCATTAATCCCTACAGGAAGTTCCCTCACTTTAGAAGTAAGCAAAGGACAACATATTAGTTCCAGCACAGAGTTTAAGTGGTGGAAACAGCAAATAATCCAACACAGAACTGAAAGAAAAAACAGAGTACCCACAACCAGAGACAAAATTTGATATTAACTAGTAAAGGTCTCATTTCGCCAAAGAACACCGATAACACCTAGAAGGACCAGAAGTCCCCCGGGCTACCAAACCAGAAAGGGGGGACAACCAGGCATACCGCCAGTGCCACAGGGCCCACCCCAGGTCCTGAGGCACGGATCCAGGGACCAGACCCTTTGCCCACAACCAGACACACCGCCAGTGCTATGGGGCCTACCTGGGGCCCTGAGGCACAGATCTGGGGACCGGACCCTCTGCTTGCAACCAGGCATACTGCCAGTGCCACGGGGCCCACTCAGGGTCCTGAGGTACAGAGCCAGGGACCAGACCCCCTCCCACAACCAGGCACAACACCAACACCATCAACAACTAGGAGTATGCCAAAAACATCACCTCCATGTGGGTGGCCCACCACAGCCACCACAGTAGCCATGGCTGCCACAAAAGCATCTAGATGCCACAACCACCATATAGATGATCTGCCAGCCACTGGAGTGTATTGACACAAGGAGAGTCACCAGCAGAGACCAGAGAAAAGAAGAGGATGTCCCTCTCCACAAAGCCCATTCCGGAGTGACAGAAGAAGCATCTGCTCTATGATAATATTGGGGGACCTGATCACACCCCTCAGCATTGGACAGTTCATCTAAGCAACAAGTCAACAGAGTAACCATTACTCTTTCAGAAGGAGGGAAGAAATCTAGTGTTATGAGAGGTGGGAGGGGGAAGGGAGAGGGGGGTGGGGAGAGATTGGACAAACAGCATAAAGGATAAGTATCATTTGTAACAATATATATGTTAGTAAGATTGATTTGATCAACATATGCCAACATTGAACCCCCAAAATATGTATAATCAATTATGATTCAATAAAAATTTAAAAATAAATAAATAAATAAAAGCCCTCTGTCAGAACGGGCAGTGTAGCAGCATCTGTTGTTTTGCCTGCCCTGCATCCATTCTCCCCACCTTCCTTTGAAAACCCTCTCCTCTCCCCACCCTTCCAGCTTCAAAGGGAGCACAAACCCCAGGTGTGGTCAATCAGAGTATCCCCTTACCATGGCCATAAGGATAGGTTCAGCAATGGACACATGACCCAGATCAAGCCAATGGGACTTCATCCTAGGCCATTTGCTGGAACTAAGGGAAAGAGGCCTGCTCTTCCAGCTGCTAGTCTGGTTGCAGGGAAGGCTGGAGCTATCAAAGACCATTACAGTGGACAGCCTGCCTGAGAATGAGATCAACCCAGAGGAAAACAGAGCTGAGCAATGGAGAGAGATTCCTAGCATCACTGCTTGAGCCACTGGATCCAGCCATGCCTAAAGGCAGTCCATGGAATTTTAGTTATATGAGCCACACATTTTTGCTCAGGTCACTTTAAGTTGGGTTTCCTATCGCATGCATTTAAACAAAGTCCTAACTGGTTCACGCAGAGAGAGAAATAGGAAGAAGAACTGAGATGCCCAGAGAAAGTCAGAACTTCTTACCTTACTCACAGCTGAGGAGGGGGGATCAGGGCAAAGGAAGGCAAAGTCCCACCCCAAACTCAGACTCCACCCAGGAACTTATGGAGGGTCCTACAGTCCAGCCCGACTGCTCCCACTGAGAGCCTCCCCCGAGGCCCACCCCAACTCATGCAAGGACTGCTGGCACTCCGCTCCCTGGTGGCTCCAGTACTCCATGCAGCCTGCCCGCTCTTCCAGAGGGGGACAGGGGACGCCTCCATTTCTTGGCTCCTGCAGGACATGCCTCCAGCGAATACGGTAGGAGAGCTGGCAGGGCTTGACACATCAACTCCAGCCACTCCACTCTGCCACCACGCAGGAGACCACTGGAAGAGAAGATGGCATCTTCAAGGGAGACTTCTCTGGGGATTGGCTGGCCAGCAGCCAGTCTTCTCCACCTTCCCCACACTTTGAATCCCCAAAACCACCACACTGAGCACTAGGACTCTTGCAAACCCGAATCTACACCTTCCTCAAAAGTTTCCCCCAAACTGTTTATAGATCCACCTAAACTGAGACTAAAGTTTCACATTGTATTTATCCATTATCCTGCTGAAGATCGTTTAGGTTGTTTCTATCACTCACTCCTTCAATGAACATTTCCTGGGCACTTAGGGCAACTGATTTCACCTCTCCACACCTCAGTTTCTTCCTCTGTCATATGGGAATAAGGACAATATCTACCTGATAGGGTGGTCTCAAG